CGGAGAGAGAGAGAGAGAGAGAGACGGAGAGACAGAGAGAGAAAGAGAGAGAGAAGCGGAGTAGAATGTCTCAGCGGCAGAGTCCTGTCAGTAAAACCCAGCGCCGTTTCGTAAAGCCCCAGCTAGAAGTGAAGCCCCACTGTGTTGCTAAGACCCTGGTGGCATCTGTAGGAGCGAAAGTCTTCTTGCCTTCAGCACATGTACAGCGAATCGCAAGACTGATAATTCTTGCATGGCCGCCGAGTATAAAATATTTACCTATAACGGACACTTACTTGTATGGTAACCTCATATAACAGTTACTTAGATGATAACCTTATATAATGGACAGTTACTTTCATGATAACCTTATATAATGGACACTTGCATGAGAGCAATATTATTATTATTATTACTGTTACTACTACAACTATTATTGCCATTGTTGTTATTGTCATTATTTTCATTATCATTATTATTATTAATATCATTATTGTTGTTGTTGTTATTACTACTACTACTACTATTACTATTACTATTATTACTATTATCATTATTATTATCATTACTATTATTATCATTATTATTAACATTATTATAATTATTGATATTATTATTGTTATCCTTATTATTATTATTGTTATCCTTATCCTTATTATTATTATTATTATAATTATCATTATTATTATTACTATTATTATTATTATTACTATCATTGCCACAACCATTACCCCCATTACTCATTATTGTTTCACTTACTATTGTCATTGTTCTTGTTATCAGTACCTCTGTTACTATAATTACTTTTATTATCACCCTGACCTGTGCCCCTAACATTATGCCATCATCAAAATCCCTCTTGTCTTGCCTCCGCCTGACACGCCTCCTTCTGCCACTTCCTCAGGGTACCCCGAGTGCGGCGGCGTCAGCGGCAGCACCATGACCACGCCCTCGGGCATCTCCATCACTCTCGGCGCCCCCATACCCGCCCACCCTCACGCGCCGCACCCACTCAACCCCCACCCGCAGCTGCACGCCCACGGCCCCGGCCCGTCCACCAGCATCGCGCCCAACCCGAGCAGCAGCGCGGGCGGCTCCCCCACCCACACCACCTCCCCCATCACCTTCACGACGCTCACGGCCGGGGCGCTGAAGAGGAAGCAGAGGAGATACAGGTGAGGACGAAGGCGCTGCAGGAGGGAGGGAGGCTGCGGCGGCGGGAGGGGCGTGGGAAGATTAGAGTTTTAGACGTGAATCAAAAACATTTATGGAATATGTTTATACTTATGTGTGTGCGTGAACACATACATAAGACAAACGCATACAAACAAAAAAAAATAAACACCTCTCTCATTACACACACACACACACACACACACACACACACACACACACACACACACACACACACACACACACACACATACATACATATATATACATATACATACATATTCATATTCACACACACACACAAACAGATCTCCCCCCCCCCACCCCCCCAGCCCGAGACCCGAGTAACCGACGCCCCTCCCCCCTCCAGGACGACCTTCACCAACTTCCAGCTGGAGGAGCTCGAGAGGGCCTTCCACCGCACGCACTACCCCGACGTCTTCTTCAGGGAGGAGCTGGCCATGCGGATTGACCTGACGGAGGCCCGGGTGCAGGTAACGGGGCTCTGCTTTTGGGGTTTTGGTGCTAGGAGAGAGGAATTGTTATTGTTGTTGTTATTGTTATTGTTGTTGTTGTGTTGTTATTGTTGTTATTTGTTCATCGTTATATTTTGTTACTGTTAATGCAATTATAATAATAGTAATAATAATAATGATAATAATGATAATAATGATAATGATAATAATCATTATTATTATTATTACTCTTATTATTACTCTTATCATTATTATCATCATTATCATAATTACTATTATTATTATTATTATTATTATTATTATTATTATTATTATTATTATTATTATTATCATTATTATTATTATTATTAGGATTATTACTATTATTATTATTATTATTATTATTATTATTATTATTATTATTATTATTATTATTATTATCATTATTATTATTATTATTATTATTATTATTATTATTATCATTATTATTATTATCATTATTATTATTATTATTATTATTATTATTATTATTATTATTATTATCATTATTATTATTATCATTATTATTATTATTATTATTATTATTATTATTATCATTATCATTATTATTATTATCATTATTATTATTATTATTATTATCATTATTATTATTATTATCATTTTGTTTTTTTATTTTTTTATTATCATTATTATCACTATCGTTATTTGTATTATTAGTATTACTATCATTATTATTGTCATTAGTGTTATTATTATTATTACCATATTCCTTATATTTATTATCATTGTTGTTATTATTACTATTATCATAGTTATTTTTATTAATATTATCATTATCATTAGTATCATTATTATCCACACTATTATGATAATTACTATTATCATTATTATCA